AGATAATACATATATATGTTGGGTCTGTTTTTTTTTTTTTTGAGGCGGAGTCTCACTGTCTCCCAGGCTGGAGTGCAGTGGCACGATCTCGGTTCACTGCAAGCTCCGCTTCCCAGGTTCACACCATTCTCCTGCCTCAGCCTCCCGAGTAGCTGGGACTGCAGGGGCCCACCACCATGCCCGGCTAATTTTTTATATTTTTAGTGGAGACAGGGTTTCACCGTGTTAGCCAGGATGGTCTCAATCTCCTGACCTTGTGATCCGTCCACCTTGGCCTCCCAAAGTGCTGGGATTACAGGCATGAGTCACCGCGCCTGGTGTATTTTTATATATTATATATAATGTATATATTTTTTATTTTTATTATATATAAAAATAAGTGATATATATATTTATCTCCATGACTACTTCTAAGTGATTTGCCATCTCCTATTGATATATGTTAAATATTATATATAATATAAAGATACATATATTAAAATATAAATATATTTTATTTGGTTTTTGAGACAGGGTGTTTCACTCTGTTGCCCCAGCTGGAGTGCAGTGGTACAATCTTGGCTCACTGTAGCTTTGACCTCCCAGGTTCAAGCAAGACTTTCACCCCCCAAGTAGCTGGAATTACAGATGTGTGCCACCATGCCTGGCTAATTTTTGTTTTTTTTTGTAGAGATGGGGTTTCATCATGTTGGCCAGGCTGATCTCGAACTCCTGAGCTCAAGCAATCCACCTGCCTCGGACTCCTAATTTTCTGGGATGACAGGTGTGCTTGGCCTCTTTTCTTTTTTTTTTTTTTTTTTGAGATGGAGTCTCACTCTGTCACCCAGACTAGAGTGCAGTGGCGTGACCTCGGCTCACTGCAAGCTCCGCCTCCCGAGTTCACACCATTCTCCTGCCTCAGCCTCCTGAGTAGCTGGGACTTCGGGTGCCTGCCACCACGCCCAGCTAATTTTTTTGCATTTTTATTAGAGACGGGGTTTCACCGTATTAGCCAGGATAGTCTCCATCTCCTGGCTTGTGATCCGCCAACCTCAGCCTCCCAAAGTGCTAGGATTACAGGCGTGAGCCACCGCGCCCGGCAGCCTCTTTTAAAAAAATCACAATATGTGATCATATTCCCAATAGAAAATTATAAATACAGCACTTAAAAAAAATCAAAAGTCTCATTTTAGCACCACTCACTCCCAACTCAGTCTTTCCATGGCAGGCCAGGTCTCACTAACACAGGCCTCCATAACAACTGTTTCAGCACTGAAAGGCTAGAATGTAACAAAAGCCCATCAAGAGTTTTGCCTAGGCCTTTCCTGGGCCTTATAAAGCATGACAAAATAACGAAGGAATTCTTAATGGGACCTGTTTAGGATTAAACAAGTTTTATTGGGAGGTCTGAAAAAACTCCCCAGGCCTTCAAAAAGAAGTTTACTGGGGGTCCTATTAGAGCAGAGGGAGAGACGAGAAGGAAAACGAAACAAGAGAGTGGCTCCAACACTTGAGACAGGTTTATTGAGAGTAAACCTGAGAAGGGCTTCTGGCTAGCAGGATCAGAGGCAAACTTCTCTTACAGCCTGAGGCGTTTAAAAAGGGCCCAGTGGGGGAAGTGTGCTCTGGGTGTGGTCCTACTGGGGAAGGGTTAGGGGAGTGCTGGCTGGTTGGGGACTGCTGGGGACTTTGATATGCTTGGTTAGGGTTGTTACGCTCTGTTGAAGATATAGGTGGAGCTGACTTTTGCGGTTTGGTCAGGTGGCAATGGACAGTTCTGAGAAATGGAAACTTGATACTTTAAGGTGGTGGTCTTGTTAAGATGGTGGTACTGTTGTCCTATCAAGACTAAGGAACTCCCCAAACCTCCATGATTTAGCAGGAGACAAGATAAGGGTAATCACCCCAGCACCTGGAGCCATTTAGATTAAGTAAATTTACAGAGGAAGGTCTTCAGGATTGAGATCTTAGTTATAGACTAAAAGAAGTTAACTGTGTGCAGTGGCTCAAGCCTGTAATCCCAGCACTTTGGGAGGCTGAAGTGTGTGCATTGTTATGCCCAGACCGTTTATTCCCCGAAGAAGACCACCAGAGTCCAGAGTCAAAGCTAAGCAGCAAGGATCTTTATTACAGGTTCAAACCTGGAACTCCCACTCACTCTCGGCATGAGAGGGTCTAGAGAGAGAGAGTTCCCACCCAGCGTTTTACACAGTGTTATATAGTCTAAGAAAAAGTGGTTATTGAATCATTATACAGATCAGATGTATGATTGGCTG